TATATATATATATATAATGCGCTCGCTGCCAGAGGAAGTTGTAGATGCTTCATTGATCAATTGACACTTTTCATGGGCCGAATCTGTGGGCCAGAAGTCTTTCTGCGTGGCGGTGCAGCGCATGTACTGCAGATTCTTCAATTTGTGGTGATTATTGTGGCCGTGGTTACTCAGGTTCACCAGGAAAAAGATGACTGGAGCCAGTCGGTCTACGAGATGTGGCAGGAGTCCTGTGGGTTAAATTGCCATTTTTTCAGTTTTGCTTGCGTCGGCTCACTTCGTGCTCCAAGGCTCCATGATGCAGTATTGTGTATCTGTGGGGGGCTGCTTCTGTCACAAGAGCATAGCGGAGACATTGTTTGGGACATTTGGAGGGGTAACGTTTTTTTGTCTCAGCACGAGCGTTGGGCAAGTACGTAAAGTTTGGCGTCATTTCGGTTCGGGGGAGGAGCGGTAAAGACGCTCTGAAGAAGCTACCCATCAATGTGAAGTACGCCGTGCACCCTTTTCTGCTTCGTGTTTATCTTGTACCTTCCTTCGTTTGACAGTAGATCTCGGCAGTGCACTATGGACGCCAAACCGCCACCCACCGAAGGCGTCGGGGAGAGCACACAATGAATGTCAACAAATAAGGTTGCTGACTTCTCCCTCTCGTGCTCTGCTGCTGCAACCTACTCAGGATTTTCCCGGCGATTCTGCTGCTGACTGCTGGCATGCACCCGGAAGTACGTAGCGGCCTATACGGGTCTGTTTAGTTGGGATTCTCAGGGGTTTCCAAGTGGACTTTGGAATTGCTACCCGCCTAGCAAGGTCTCGAAACAGCTATCTACACACGGAAGTCGAATCTGGTTGAGCACAGGAAAGTGCACACAGCAATGGCTGTATCTTGGATGTCTGCGTTATAATTTGCAGCAATACCCAAACCTCTCGCGGCCGTCTGTAGAATCCATCAACCGGTTCATCGCCGATGCTTTCCCAACCACCCTTGATGTTGTCGAGAGCGGTTAGAAACCATACACCTGCGTGCAGCAATCTCGTGAAGGCCTTGACCAGATGCACAGATGTTTTATAAAACTAAAAGTGTAGTAATTTTAGTAGCTCGTGGGCATTTGAGGCAGCAACTCGATACTTGGGCCTTGAATGTAGAGACGTGCGTGTACTTCGGCGCCTGTAGGGAGGAGAACGTTTGAAGCACACATAGGGGCGACAGGAGCTGAGACAGTTACCAAGGTGCTGTTCTATTTGATGCTTTTTCGGGTTATATTTTCGTGTCTGTAGTGCAATGTGCGCCTGCTGTTTCAGCACGAGGTTTGAAGTCCTGGTTGGCATCTTCGTCTTTCTCGCAGCCGCTGGCTGCGCAGTACAAGGCGGTGATCATTCCTTCTGCCGCCTCTGCCAGCAAACCGTCCTTGTTGGTGAAGCATGCGGCGTTCTCGAATAGGCACCTGTTTAATTTCTGTTTCGTTGCAAACACGCGAGCCGTGTTGACGAGCGAGAAGGAGGAGTTGCTTGCTGTTCTTAAGAACCCCCCAACATGGGTCAAACAGCTGCCCTCGGACAGCACAGCAGCGAAGGCGCTGAGGCTGCCGGTGCACTCAGAGGAACTTAAGGTAGGAGACTTTGTCTCAAGTTCAAATGTCCTGCTCTTCGCGGACGAAGGCAGAGGCGTCTCCCGCATGCAAGCCATCCTGCAAACCGCCCGATCTAAACTCCTCAACCCGTCGACTGCTCTCTCCTTGTCCCTGGATCGGTTCAAGGCAGTAAGTCGAGGGCATGCCTCGTCCGCACTGGAAAAGTTCACGTTTCTGAACTCCTATTCGGGTTTACGTTTTTGGGCTTTAGATTGGGGGTTTAAGGACAGACCTACAGATACCCGACACTAAAAGCGTGCTTTCGACTCCCCTTTGCGTCATGGGCCTCTTGCTGCGTTCTGCAGAGCGTTGAGCCCTTTCTTTATCAGCAAAACAGCACTTCTCTCTGCAAGGGGTCGCTTCAGAGACGAGTGTATTGCCTTGTTGCTGTCGAGCCAGAGGAAGGAACCAGCGGTGGGGACCGGACGAAATCTGTGAAGACGCTCGACTTGTCACGGATAAGGCAGCTGTTGCAGGTTTCCAAGCAGAATTATCTTAAAGGTGAGCTTGATTGTACATGAACAATGTGTGTATTCGATTTTTCGAGCACCTAATGTTTTGCTGTTCCGCAACGAGCAGTTCACAATGTAGCAGGCAGAAGCTTTAGTTAGAGGCAACACCCTCTAAGGGCTTCAAACTCGAAGGAGAAACAGTGAGCATCTAGCGGTTTCATCTAGCAGCTTACGGCTGTGTAGTTTACCATATGCGGACTCAGAAAATCCACGGAAGAACTTGGAAGCCGTTTGGGAGCGGGCGGTGCAGAAGGCGAGAGATTACGAAAAGTTAAATCCTCCGCAGGGGGACGTTGAATTGGGCGACTCAAACATTTCTACAAAGGAGCACGACGATCTGCACATCGAGCAGCCAGACGACGTAGAAGAAGAGATAATTCATGTGCAGCTGGTTAGTAGTGTCATCGTGATTTTCCCATGTGCGCATTGAAGACACGGAAGATACGGCACATCTACATGAAAAAACATGCGAGCAAGCAGACAGACAAGATTGTGTCTTTCTCGTTCAGGTTCGAGTGTCTATAGGGCGACCCGCTGCAGTGCCATCTCTTCCGGGTCTGCCTAAAGATAGTCAGTTCAGACGTCTTCTGAATGAGGAGTTAGAAGGTGCACCAATCTTCTTGCTCGACTTAGAAGGCTCTCGCGTAGCACCAGTGCCTGCTTTGTATGTGGGGGAGACTGGCGCCGCCTCTGGGGAAGGAGCTGAAGGACTATATTCACGCCTTTATCAGATACTTGATGAACTACAAACCGCTACAGATGATGACGACGAAGCGAAGATTGCTTTTTCAGAGCTACCCGAGTACTGCTCAGGACAAGAGTTTGCAAAGAGGTGTCTGGCCAGTGACCAACATTCATGGTGGACCTCCTTACATGCTGGGGGTATCTTGATCCAGGTAATTGGGAAAACGACTGCGCCTGCGCCGTCTTGCAGCGTATTTTAAGATGAGGCTGACACAGATGTTGTATAAAGTGTAGCAGTCAGTCGATGACAGCAGAAGTAGATAGAGTGCATGAAAATTTCTCTCGGCAGTTTTACTTTAACGCGTTTAACCCACAGCTTCTGACGCTGATAGTGGGATCGGTTGTGCCCAATTCTGCATGTGCTGCTGCTGTTTGTTTCAGCTCGGCTTGTTAGTAGCCGTGGGAGGGTTTATCTTCGTCGCCTGGAACAAGATTACCGCGGAGGTAATTTCTGCAAGTGTTTTCGTTTTTCAGATGTTGCATGCAAATACCACACTGCATCGCATTGCCAACTTCTCAAGTTTAGGTGTAGTGAACGATGGCGGTCTCTCCTGTCACGATATGCATGGAAGTATCTCCAGTTGCTGTGCCTGCTGATTTAAAGTCTACTTGCAAGGTATTTCCCTTATGCGGTCTCAGAAATTCGTCTGCGCCATGCTCCTCTTTTCTCTTGGGATTGGCGCCTGGTCCTCCGTTCAGCCGATCCTCTCGTCTCTGTTTGGCGGCAAGTGAAGCGAGTTTTCAGGAGAAGGGTTACGTTGGAGGGGCTGAAGGCACAGGAGGCAGAGGCTTGGTGTTGTTCCCTGTGCTGCAGTTGCAGCAGACTATATTTAATGTGAACTGATCATGCAACGCTTGCATTTGCCCACATTTTTTTCCTATTCGTTTCTGTGATAGCTTTTTCTGATGGCGGGATGCAAAGAAAACATCAGATTTTTTTTGCCCGCTGACTATTAACGGTTTTGTTTATCTAGGCCTACCGCGCTAGGCGCATCTGTTTGTTAGGTCTTAAACCAGGTACCTATGCATACTGATTAGAGGACGAGGGTGCTGCAACAGCACCGCATTCCTCCCGACAGAAGCCGCGTGAGGGCTGTGGGGGGGAAAAAGCGTTGAAGAACTGAATATATTGACGCAACAAGCAGGCGATTTGTATAACCAACAGTTAAAAAAATTTGGTCACCACTGCTAGGTGGACGAGAGAGACAATCCGAAGCGACACTGTGGCTACTCGTATGCGTACGGAGGTGTACGCACTGCGTCTGAGCAGCCTTGGCGGCGTTTCGAAAAGCAAAAAGTTACTTTGCTGCTCGGAGTACATCGTCGCACCTTCAACAGAGGAGGAGCTGGTTCCCTGTTTAGGCATGCTACTGCGTATGCTCAGTAACAAGCAGTGCAGCCACATATGTTTTGGCGCTGTGACTTCTGTTACTTTGGGGTATGAGGTCTGGTATTTTCGTCGCAAGCAGCACAAGAATCAAGGGATATAATGGGGCCACACTGGCCCACTTCGCTCCTCGTGGTAAATATGAACCAATGAGAGAAGCGCCATAGAATATGGTGGAACTGCAATTCCATGTACATGCACCTTCACCACTGGGCCCGCGTAGAGTCTTCCGTCGCAAATGGTTGGAGGCAAAAAGGGATCCTTAGTCACTACACTAGGGAAAGAGGCAGCCCGAGGTAATCATTTTGTACTCGCGATATTTTGTGACGTTGAAGAGACTAACATGAAGGAATACAGGCTACGCTAGACTCTCTGGCGGTGCACTGCGCAACAATGAAGACGCGGAACGATGTATTGTGACGAACTTGAAGGTGGGAGGGATGAGTATACGAGAACTGGGAAAGTGGCATCAGTAAGAAGGGAACTGCGCAATCGAATATGTCGAGTGGAGCTAGAGCAGTTCAATATATGCTCACAACTCCCCCTAATTTTGAGAGCACCATGAGCGTGTGAGTACTATCAACGACGGCGGGGGAACAACGCATTTAATGTTGAATACGACTGGATCTCCTTGCATACAATGCCAAATTAGTTCAGATGGCAGTTCAACGACCAGTTACACGGACTATGGCATACTGAATGCTAACGAGCAACACATTCTGCAGCCAGTCTTCCCTGTCCTGAGGGGTGGTTTCAACTGCAATCTATTTCGCTTTCCCTACCTATTTTCTTATTATTTTCCAACTAAATAAGAATACACAGCTGCTTAACTAATGTATTGAGGTTGGGGAACAGATCGATTCATCAGTACCCCCACGCTGACTAATTTTCTCACAACGCTCTAATGGGAGGCGTGATGGTTAATTTGCTTCGTTGCGTTGGATCTTAACGAAAAGGAGGGCCAAAGGAAGACGAATCAAGAGGTTAACAGCGTTTGTAAAGTAATTTAAATAATGAAAGATTTAAAAATAAGATATTAAGGGTTTATTAGACGTTTCGGTGGTTACCGCTTCTGCCGGTCTGTGCGCCCCAGGGACCGGTGGCCTCGTGGGAGGGAGGCTGCTGCACGAGTGCTCCTGCGAGGAGGTAACTGGAGCTCGAAATACACCTCCATCGACAACAAGCAATTTGCCCAAATATTTAAAAGTATTTTTGTCGCCTTTAATGTAAATTTGGTCAACAGAAACGAAAGACGGCTCTGAAGAAAACGAGTCGCGACGCCGCCTTGGGAACGGACTGCTCTACTGCCTCCCGCGCGTCTCACCACCACAATTTCCTCCTTCAAATGTTTTTTTTCTTGGTTTTCCAGCAACAATAACGAATTATTTTTATACGCCCCCTTAGAATTTGCAATGTTTTAGCGGCGGAGGGTTTTCCGCACAGGATATATGCTTCCTTTTCTGCGGTATTTCGGCAGTGGTTGAGATCCGCAGCCTGGATTGGGCGTTTGACCGCCACTTGTCTTAATTGTTTTGCACTGATTATTCGTTCAAGTCGCAATAAACTCACTTGGAGCGAAAGATTTATTTTCACCAACAGTAGACGGTCGTCCTAAATCTTGCCTGCTGCAAGAACAATAGCATAGCCTCACACTAGTTCCTGAGGAGGAGGAGCAGCAGCAGCAACGGGAAACAGGGAATATCATTAAGACAGCACTGATAATGGGCTTCTATTTATCTGCCTGCTTCCTGGATCCTTCCCATTAGCATCATTCAACTTCCCTAATTTATATCTGTATTCACTTTTGGGCCCCTGCGCCGGGGGGCTTCTGTCTTCTGTTTCTCCCCGTCTGTATACTGCCAAAGACGCTGGAAAAATGGCGGGGGGACAAGAGGAAACAGAAAAGGGGGTGGAGGAGGAGCTTCGGCATTCTGGTGTCTCCTCTTCCCCTGAAGAGCCCACCAAGTGTCTCGTTGTACACCCGACGTCCTCTTCAGCAACTTCTTCCTTATCTTTGTCTCCTGTTTGCTTTCAATCAAATGTCACTTCCTCCATCTCCCTAGGCCCTAATGATCCTTCTGGTCGGGGCCTATACAGGACCAGACGACGTTGTAAGCCTGTGTTTGTCTCTGTTTCTGTCTCCCTTCTCTCTCCTATATTTCGTCTGGCTCTTCGTTCCTTCTGCTCCACTCATCTCTTGTCTGCGTATACTTCATTTCGTTTCCCTCATATCTGCTTGCGCTTGCCCTCTTTCTCTATCTCCTTTGTCTCTTTCTGTCTCGCTCTCTCTCAATCGCCGTCTTTTCAAGGCACAACTTCAATAAAACACGTAGGTCGTTGCTCATCTGGTATTTGCTTTGCTGCAGATGCAAGCGCTGAGACGTTGCCTAGGGCGTATTCCAGAGGCCCTACAGTCAAGAGGGGTGCCTCCGTGGGGGCCCCCCTCAGGGGCCCCCCTAGGACCGCGGCATCTGCAACTGACACGCGCACGCCTGCTGCGGCGCGCGAAGACCTTTTTCCTCAACCTAGAGAAGCGTCTGTTAGTTCACACGTCGCAGTGTCTCCACTGCTTACTGAAGAGAAGAATCCGTCTCTACAGCAACAGCAGACAGCAGAAGCAACAGCATCAACAGGCCATGAAGCTACAACAACACCGCAGCATGGCAGACGCCCCCGCCTACGCATGGCCCTGGCGGCCAAACCCCTTCATCGAGTGCACAAACACTGCACAGGAGCTCCTGAGAGGCAATTTGCTGCAGCGAGACTTCGGAAGTGGTGTCCCCGTGCTTCTACAAAAGCGAGAGTAGACAGCAGGGTTTACTCGAAGGCCCTCAGTAGGCTGCAGCACCAGCTACTGTCGCCGCTGCAACAAACCCTGCAGACAGAAGCGAGCCGCAAACGGTCTCTGGTTCTATCCCGGCAGGTGCTGCTGCGAGAGCGGGGGAAGGCCTTTCCAGTGCATGTACACCACGGAGTCGGGTACTGGACGAAGACCTTCAAGGCCACTCGTGTTGCCAAGCCTACAAAAAGCAGCAACGGGAAACTGACAAGAACATCCCTGAAATACAGACACAGATACAGTATCCTTGAGGTACAGAGGAAGCAAAAGAATGCAGAGAAGGCATGTCGCCAAAACGGCCTAACTCCTGTGCCTCTAATCCCCCCTGCGGCTGGTGGGGCTGCAGCAGCAGCAGAAGCAGCGGCACCTGCTGCTACTGATGAGGACTGCAAGTCTAGGGACAACCTGTTCCCTAGAGCAGAGCTCACTAGCCAAGCTGGCGCCGAAGGAGCCCCCACCCCGCTCCGTGAGGTGTCTCGGCAGCTGTGCTCGGGGATGGAGAGGAAACAATGCAGACAGAAAGAGAGACATCTCCCTGTTATTTTTCAGCCTCTTTTGTGCCATGCAGCAGCTAAAGAGAGGAGCTCTTCAGACAGTAGCAAACAAACAAACGAAGACCCAATCATCACGCCCGCACTAGCACAGGAAGCAGCAGCAGAAGTAGCGGCAGAATCAGCAGCAGAAGTAGCAGCATCAGCTGCAGCACCGCAACAAGCACCTCCATCTTCATCAGTTGAGACCCCTCAGGAACCTCCGCAGCAAACTGTTTCAGCAAAGGAGGGCCCAGACAGCGCTGGCTGTTCTCCCGACGTGCAACAAGAAATCCTACGCAGCGAGTTCAGACAAGTACTAAAGAGTTGGAAATCAAAAGAACAGCTGGCAGCAGCACACAAAAAGAAGCCGCATGTAGATCAAGCCTCAATTCAAACCCTTGATCAAGGCCTCAACGAATCAGCAGCCCCGCAACCCCCCACAAGCAGCAACGCCACCCAGCAGGAAGAGCCACCGCAGCACCCTGCCGGGTCTGAACAAACAGCAGACCACCAGCAGCCACCAGAACTTGTAGCAGCAGCAGTAGTAACTGAGTCAGCTGAAGCAGCAGTACCACCGGCAAAAACTGAAGCAGCAGCACCACCGGCAAAAACTGAAGCAGCAGCACCACCGGCAAAAACTGAAGCAGCAGCAGTAGCAGCAGCCGCCTCGCCTACTCCACAAGCTGCAGCCACTTTTCAGGCAGCGACAACCCAAGAGCAGCCAGAAGTAGCCTCCGAAGCACACGCAAAAGCAGCAGAAATTGAAGAAGCAGAAACTGAAGCAGCAGCAGCAGCTACCTCACCTGGAGTTCGTTTGGCTTTTGCTGTTGCGGTGCCCAATCAGTGTAAGGCAGCAAGGGATGATAAGGAGACAGGATTCAAAAGAGAGGTAGAAGGAGACAGTGAAACAGTGCATGAGCTGGAAAGGAGACAGACAAATCCCTTCGAGTTGCTGGAGCCAACGGTAGCAGCTGAAGAAAGCAAAACACATGAAGAACAAAACATAGCAGCAATTGAAGCAAAGAATGCAGAGCCACGGTCAGCCCACCCAGAGGGACCAGCTCCTTTTGCGTGCTCACAAAAGCCTCAAAAAAGCATGCAGCAAGCAACAGAAAAGCTTTGCACTCTGCAGCAGCAGCGGAAAACCGGCGGAGGAAGGTTCCTGTACAGCCTAATTGATTCCCTGCCTACCAAGTGGGAAGCCTTCGCTTTGTTTTTAGGAGCTTTGTTTACTTATGTGTTGGTTTTTGTCTGCACCCGGGGACTGCCACAAGCTCTTCTGCTGCTCTTCTGTTGCTTCTTCGGCCTCCGCATCCGCTTTGGGGGTAGCAGCAGCAGCAGCGGCGGCAGCTACACAGCCCTGTGGCTACTGCTGCTGCAGTTACTAGTGCTCGTCAGCCTCTGTTGCGTCAGCATCGCCAAACAAGCAGCGAACGAACAGCAGCTGCTGATGCAACTAGAAGAAAGCAAGCTCTACACAGCAGACATCCGAATCAGTGAGGAAATTCACACACGGCAACAGCGGCAACACCAATAGCAGCAGCAAGAGAAGATGCTGCTTGCGTCGCACTATACTAGTCTTGTCTAAGTACTCGCAATGTAATAGATAGAGTGAAGTGTGTAGAACAGACGAGTGCTCTTAAAGATTAAGATGTAAATCAGTAAATGCATGCTCGTATATAAAAGTTAACGCCCCGATATATATAAGTATGTCACGTACGTGCATATGTATGCATGCATATTAACTATACATGTACACAAATGTAGACATGTAAATACGTACAAATATGTATGATACATACACAAGAGTGTACCCCTATATCTATATGGATAAAGATGCAGTCATGCAGTCAACATTCAAGCATTATCAATGTAGAGGGGTCCAGCAACTGCCTGTATCTGTACGCTGCAAACAGTTGAAGAGGTGTTTATTGTTTGTTCTGTGTTTACATTTTGCTGAAGTGATACAGGAGAGGCGACTAGAGTGCAGCTGTTTGCGTCTTGGTGGTGTTGTTTGTGGGGGCCCTTGCTCGGGTATCGCGAGACAGTTAAGGTGTGCATTCTTTTGCTACTGCTCTGCTTTTTGCTGCGCTGTGTGTTGTGTGCAGCTGCAATGTTGCTTTTTGTGTCTCTTTTATTTTTGCTATTTCTCGTGGGGTTTATTGCGCTGGGCTATCTGCGTTTTACGAGCTTTTACAGCTTTGTGTTTCAACCCATCGAAATTTGTCTCTTTTCCTCTTCTGAGCTCCGCAGCTTCCACGCCGGCGTCCAGCTTGCTGCTGGTGCATGCCTGCTGTGTCTCGGCTGCTGCAACAGCAGCGCATCGCTGCTGCTGCTGCTCACATTGCTGGGCTGCGGGGGCCGCCTCCTGGCCTTGGGGTTTATAGCATGTTGCGGGAAGAACAGAACAGGCCCGCAAGGTCACCGGGAGACAATTGCACCACACAAAATTCATATTTGCAAAACAAGGCTCACCCAATTCATAGCTGGAGCAGCTATACAGCTGACAGCACTTGTGGGGCTCTGCGCTATCCTGTGCACCGTGCCGCATGCAACGGAGACGGCAGATGAAGAACAGCAACAGGAGCAACAGAACCAGCAACAGTTGCAGCTTGTGAAACGAGTGATTTCAGGAATCGGTTTTCTCGCATCTTTGATCGATTTGTTGCTTCTTGTTGCACAAATAATTGCGTTTATGTTAAAAAACAAACACAGGGACAAGCCCTCGGCGGCGGCAGCAGTTTCTTTGGCAGGCGGTGACCTCGAAGGCTCCTCCAGCATCCTCTGCCTCGTCGGAAGACCCCACATCCACTATGATGTCGAGAAAGCTCAGTACTGGAGCACGTGAGTCAACACAGCAACCCCACGACATTCTCATCCTGTGGTTTTTCGGTCTTGTTTCCTTGTCTGTTCAACCGCAGTCTCGATCGCTGTCTTCACTAAGAATTTCCTTCTATACACGCCATTCAATATATTGATTCCTCATGGGGTTTTTTGCTAAGTGAAAACAAAAACTAGAGCCCGTTTCTTTCCTAGCTTTACTGGTGTCTCGTGGTTCGTGCGGACCTTGCCCGAATCTTTAGTTCGCAGTTAAAAGGATATATGGTGCACGTTTATTACTTTAAATTGTGTTTTTGGATGTATTTTAGCCTGTATTTGCGCTTTTCCCATATTGACACACGAGGCGTACAACGATGATCTACATAGCGAGCCATGCCAACAGGCGGCAGCGCCGATGAGGTCTCGGGGCCGCTGTTAGCAGCAGATGTTGCAGTTGCAACTACAACATATTTATTGGAATATGTTGTATTATTTGTTTGTTTTTACATCTTTAATCGTTTATTGAATTTCATCTTATGTATGTTCGGCGGTTTTTCGACGGAAGTTTTGCTGGCATAGATCTAAAGGTAGGTGTTCCTGCAACAGTTGTGGCCGCAGGGCCCCTGCCCGTTGTGTATCGACCATATTTGTGTTTTTATTTGTTCGCCTGCATATTTCATTATACTTACTCTTTTTATGCTTAATTAGAGTCATTTATTTGCTCTTTTGCCTTAAAAGCCTTCTATAAGACAGGGAGAGACCGCTCGCCCTCGACGGCGGCTCAGCCAGGAGGGTGACCCTGGCAGCGCCGCCGTCTTCTCGCTGCTGAAGTGCATGTACACTTCAATATATTTGACTAGTTTTCATTATTTAGGCTTTAGGCACTGCTGAGGGGCTTACAAGGAGCAGGAGCGGTTTGCCAGTGACCCCGGGGCCTTTGGTTTGTCTCGCCTCTTCCCGTTATAGTTGCTGCACCTCTTTCTTCACCTCATCTCTATGACCCTGCCCCAGCTGTTGCTGCTGATGCAGGTACTCATATTCGTTTGTCGTCCAGCGAAGGGCTTCGGCCGTTATCTGGAGGCGGAAGTTGTGTGAAGTCACGACGCCGCTGCCGAAGGCCTTACGCGAGCAGCAGCAGCAGGAGCGCTTTTTGCAACAGCAGCAGCTTCATTCTCTTCGTTCTGCTTTAACGAGTCCCTCTGGAGTCCCTATTCCTGTAGCTGGTGTTGCAGGATCAGTTACAGAGCCTGGCTCGCTGCCTTTATCCCCACCCACTGCTGCTGCTGCTGCTGCTGCTGCTGCTCAGAAGAGTTTTGAATCGGCTGTTTTTCTGTCTTTAAAGTCAAAGGCATTTGCAAGGGAGGCGGGAAGGGCTCTGGAAACTGCTGGGCTTTACAGACTTCAGACCTTGGTAAATTCTTCGTACACTTCTTACTATCGAGTAATAAGGACATATTTTTCTTTGGCTTCTTCTCCTTGGTCTTCTGCTTATTGTTCTTTGTCTGTATCCTTATTCTTACTCTTGCTGCTTTTTTTCTTGTCGTTATTCTTGCTTGTATTCCTCTTCCTTTTCCTGATGTTGTGTTTATTCTTGTTGTTGTTACTTTTGTATTTGTTATTGTTGCTGTTTAGATAAACTGTTTCTTTCTCTCCTGAGTTATTCTGCTGTACTCCGCTTCCTCCTCTGGCCTCTAGGGTTCGGCGTTTAGGGTTTAGGGTTTAGTGTTTAATGTTTAGGGTTTACGGTGTATGCGCAGGCAATATCGAGGCTGAAGTCGGCTGATGCCGCTGCGAAGCCGCCTCCATCTTCCGTGCTGCAGCAACAAAATCAACTGCAGGCTTCTGTCTGCAGCAACTTAAGACACATCAGCAGGGGCAGTGGCAACAGTAGCAGCAGCAGCAGCATTTATTTGTCGTCCCCTGCCTTTTCAAGCGGGTGTGCATCTCCTCGTTCCCTCAAGAAAAAAGCAGCAGCATTCACGGGCACCCGACTAGTAGCAATTTCCGCACTAGAAGAACTACCAGCAGCACCTGCTGCAGCACCAGCAGCTGAAGCACCCGCTGCAGCACCCGCTGCAGAGCCCGCTGCAGTATCAGGCGCATCAGCAGCTGCAGCACCAGCTGCAGCCCCCGCTACAGCATCAACTGCACAAGCAGCTGCAGCACCAGCAGCTGTAGCACCAGCAATAGCAGCAGTAGCAGTACCAGCAGCAAGGCAATCGCTGGTCATGGAAGAGCAGCATTCCTTGGGCGGTATCACCCCCAAGGCCATGAGCTCCTCCCACGTAAATCCTCCACAGCAGACGAACAGTAGCAATCGCTGCAGTAGCCAGCCCAGCAGCAAACGCAGTAGCAGCAAGCGCAGCGGCAAGCGCAGCAGCAGCAATCGCAGCAGCTGCACAGTCAAAGCTCGCCGGAGGAGCAGCAAGCGACGAGCAGCAGCAGCAGAAGCAACCACTGGCGACAATCCCCAGCACACAGCGCTGAAGATCAAAAGGCACCAGTCTGAGGGTGCAACACAACAGCAGCAGCCAGCACCCGAAACTGCAGCCGCAGCAGCAGCAGCAGCACACTCAAGGAAGTCCACAAACCCATTCGATGATGAGATGGAGGACTTCTCCGTCTCCCCTTCCCCTGCTGCAGCAGCAGCATATAGCGCTGCTGCTGGGCCCGAAACTGCTCTGATTGGTGCTCTATGCGAGCTACTGCAGCGGCTGCAGCGGGAGCAGCCTGTGCTGCTGTCAGCAGAGGCTCCCCTGTTAAGCAAGCGACTGCAGCAGGAAAAAAAGGAAAAGGTCTTAGAAGAGCTGCTGCAGCAGGAGCAGCTAAAAAAAAGCAAAGAGGAGCTCCTGTCGTTACATCGCAGATGGTCCGAGTCAGCTGACGACTCCTCTCCACGGTCAATGCTTGTTGCCTTCCTCAACTTCCTTCGTGGAGCAGAGAAGCAACAGCAGCAGCAGCAGCAGATGAGTGCTCAACTGCAGCAGCAGGAAGAGCAACAGCGACAGCAGCAGCTGGACGGACAACAGCAGCAAGAAAACAACCCCCTGGGAGAAGAACAGACACAACCTCAGGAGGAGGAGGAGCAGCAGCACCTGCAGCAGGGCCAGCAGCAACATGAGCAAGACCAGCACCAGTTGCAGCAGGAAGAGAAGCCACAAATTCAAGCGCAAGAACAACAGCAGTTGCAAAATGGACTGCAAGAGAATATGCAACAGGGGGACCAACAGCACCAGCAACAGGAAAAACCGCAGGAGCTGCAGCAGGAAGAGCAGCAGCAACAGCAGCGGAAAAAACAACAGGAAGAGCAACAGCTGCAGCAGGAGGAACAGCAGCACGTGCAGCTGGAAGAGCAGCAACAACTGCAGAAAGACCAGCAGCAACAGCTGCAGCAGGAAGAGCAGCATCAAGTGCAGCAGCAAGTAGAGCAGGACGAGAAACAGCAACTGCAGCAGCCAGAAGAGCAAATGCAACAGAAAGAGCAGCAACAGCAACTGCAGGGGGAACAACAGCACGTGCAGCAGGAGGAGCAGAAGCAATTAAATCAGGGATATGACTGTCAAGCGCAGCAAGATGAACAGCATCAAGTGCAGCAGGTCGAACAGCAAAAGCTGCAGCAGGGAGAGCAACAACCAGTACAGCAGGATCAGGGGCAACAGCTGCAGCAGGAAGGGCAGCAACAACAGCCACAGCAGGAAGAGCAGCAGCAAGAGCTGCAACAGGAAAAGCAGCGGGAGCGCGAGGAGCAGCAGATGCAAGAAGAAGAACAGATGCAGCTGAAGCAGCATGAGCAGCAACAGCAGCAGCCGCAGGGTGAGCAACAGCAGAAGGCCGTGCCGGAGCATATGCAGCAGCAAGACCCCGTGCAGCAACAAGAGATGCAGCAGCCAGGTCAGGAGGAACCCCGGCAGCAGCAGGAGCAGGAGAAGAAGCATGAAGAAGCCAATGAAGCAGCTCCTGCATCAGCAGCTGCTGCAGCTGCTGCCTCTGATGACGATGCAGTTGGGCCTTACAGCTCTTTCGAACCAGCAGCAGCAGCAGCAGCGGCAGCAGCGGCGGCGGCTGCAGCAGCAGCAGATCTCGCTACCAAGCGGGGTAGGTCTAGGGAAGAGGGTACTGCTTGCCTTGATGCAGCAGAGCCTTCAGACACTGGAACTGCAGCAGCAAGAGATGAGAAGGAGCGTAGCCCTACAGCAGCAGCAGCAGCAGAAGCAGAAGCAGCAGAGGCAACAGGAGCAACGGCTCCTGCAGCAGCTTGCTTACAAGCTTCTGCTGCACTTTCTGCTGCTGCTGAGTCGGATTTGGGGGGGCCCCTGTTTGGTTTCCTAGAGAGGGGCGCCCAGCCCCCCAAGCCTGCTGCTACAACATCGAGTGCTGCATGCATCTCTCCGCCGCAGGACTCGGGTGAACTGTTTGGGTCCTTAACTAACAGCAGGGGGTCCCTTGGGGGACCCCTGGGGGCCCCCCTAATTGGGGAAGATGAGGTGGAAGAAATTCAAAATCGGCTTCTGCAGCAGGTGGCAGAGCAGCAGCGGTCTGCTGCTGCGTTTGGCCGCAGTGGCAGCAGCGGCAGCAACATGGTACTGTTTCCTTACGCAGGTATGGATGGGCCGCTGTTGGAAGGGACGAAGAGGGCAGAGGCAGCGGCGGCGGCAGCAGCAGCAGAAGCAGCAGCAGCAGCAGGGGATGATGCCCTGTCTGAAGGAGAGGCCGAGGCTGTTTTCTCTGTATTCCTCTCCTCAAGAAGACAAAGTATGCAAAGAGATAAAAGAAGAAGTGCCTCTGCCTCTCCTAGAACGCCAACGCGCCTCTTCGATATCCCCTCTGACTTGCTTCCCGTTGCTTCTGAGTCTCAGCAGCAACACGAGCAGCAGCAGCAGCAGCAGCAACAGCAGCAGCAACAACAACAACAACAGCCTCAGCACGTCACCCTGGATGAGGTATTCCTGCCTCTGCCATTACCCGAGTACGAACCGTCAGATCCTAGGTACAACTCAGGGGGCCCCTATTCATCTGGGGGGCCCTTATCCCCAGGGGTCGGACCCCTCTCTTCTTCTAGAGGGCCCCTCTCTAGTGGTGGGCCCTCAATTCAGTCTACCCGTGCTTCCGCAGGCAGCAGCCTGGCAGGCCCTCTTGCTGCAGGGGAAGCGCCCCCTATGGGGCCCCCCATAGCCCCATCGCTGGTGCAGCAGTTCGAGCAGCAGCAGCTGCAGCAGCAGCTGCTGCGCCGCCGCGGCGGTGTTTCGCAATACAACAGTCACCCCAATGCCCCAGGAGCTTCAAGATCCTCAGCAGCAGCAGCAGCAGCAAGAAACGACACAAGGGGAAGAATGCGAGGACAGCAGACGTCCTTCTATGGTGTTACTGACTTCAGTGGTTACCCCGAGACGGTGGGGTTGGTAAGCCAAGCAACAACCCCACAGCCGCTGTCTTTCTACTGCTTACGATCCTCTAATGGCTCTACTTCACCTGCTGCAACACCTGCAGCAGCAGCTGCTGCAGCGCCTGCAGCAGCAGGTGCAACAGAGCCAGTCCCGTTCCTTAAGCAACCACGATTCGTAGAACCACGAGACACCCCCTTAGCGCCACCAGCTGTGGCCGTAGGGGAGGGACTACCCACACCTAGAGATCAGAGCAGCAAGGTGCCGCCTTCACAAAGGGAGACACTTAACAGCAGCAGCAGCAGCAGCAGCAGATTCCCTCAGGAAGCAGGCAGCAGAATCCGCCCTGCGGAGTTTATCTCCACCTCCTCCCACAGTGCCTTCACCCCTGCACCCCACAGCAGTTTGCCGTATGCTCAGCTGCAGCAGCAGCCGCAGCAGCAGGGAGGCGACGTCCGTGTTGGCGGGGCTGGGGGGCTTCGGTCTCACAGCAGCAGACGCGGACAGCGCGGCAGCAGCAGCAGCCACAGCCCAATAAGAGCACCAGGGGTCGTTGCTGCCAATGGTTTAGATGCTGATATGATCTCGAGGCCCCAACAGCAACAGCCGGCGAACCCAACTCCCAGGATCCTTAGCACTGCAGCAGCTCCAGCAGGAGAAGCAGAAGCATCAGCAGCAGCAGCAGCAAGGGGAAACAGCAGCAGCTCGCGGCTGTTTGTGAGGCCTGCTCGCCGCGACCAGGAGACGCAGGCCCTCGTGGGGGGTTGGGGGGCCCCACCTACACAAGAAGAACGACTTACAAGGAGGCAACTTAGGGAACGATTCGATAGGCTAACAGCTATGGAGAAGCAGCAGCAGCAGCAGCAGCAGATGGAGCAGCAGCAGCAGCAGATGCTGCAGCAGCAACTGCTCCAGCAGCAGCCATCCGCTGCCGCACCTGCTTCGAGAGAAGACTTAGGGACCTCTCTTAGCCCAACACACAGCAGAAGCAAAAGCTCACATCGTAGCAGACAACTGCAGCAGCAGCAGCAGCAAATGCCTGTGATGGAGAAGACCCAGGAGAGGCTGAGCAGCTCGTTGAGATTACCAAGAGGGCGATCGCAGCCGCCTCAGCCGCAGCTGCAGCAGCAGCAGCAGCAGGTGCTTCTGCCTCCTGAGCAGCGCAGAGGAAGTGTCGCAGGAAACAACAGCCTCGACAGCTTTCAGAAGCAGCAGTTGCTGCAGCAGCAGTTGCAGCAGCACTTGCTGCAGCAGCACGAATTAGAGCATCCACAAGACGAGCTGCAGCAAGAGGAGGAGCAGCTGCAGCAGCAAATTCTGCTGCAGCAGCAGCTCAAGGTAGAAGAGGAACGACTAGCAGAAGAAGAGCTACAGCGCTTGATGGAAGCCCACTGGGAAGGGGCCCGCAGGCAGCAGCAGCGGCAGCAGCAGCTGGCGCTGTTGCAGCAGCAGCAGCAGTCATTCCTCTCCGAGTCCCGTCGTGAACGAGAAAGGAAACGCTTAAGCAGTAGCAGCAGCAGCAGTAGCAGCAGTAGCAGCAGTAGCAGTAGCAGCAGCAGTAGCAGCCAGCAGCTGCAGGCGGCGCCGATCCTTTCTTTCCTGCAGCAGCAGGCAGCACCACAAGCAGCAGCAGATGCAGCAACGGGCACAGCAGCAGAATCGCCTGCAGAAGCAGCAGACATGCTGGAGGGTCAGGTGTTGGGTCGCGTGAGCAACAGCGGCAGCACACCTCGTTTTAGTGCAGCAGCAGTTGCTGCTGCTGCTGAAGCAGCAGCTGCTGTCTCTGCTGTTGCTGAGAGGCGCAGCAGACGCAGGAGGACCCCCAGCATATTTGAGCTATCAGGAGACATGGATCCAGTAGACCTAGCAGAGGCAGGCGTTGCATCATCAGCAGCAGCAGCTGGCGCAGCAGCAGCAGCAGCAGCAGCAGCTGCTGCTGCTGCTGCAATTCCTGAAGAGGCCGAGCAACAGCGGCAGGAAACAGATGATGCAGGTATCTGCGGAGATGTATTCGGTACAAATGATAACTTTTTGGGGCTTTCTGCTGCATGCAGCAGCAAAAGAAGAGGAGAGGTGGAGAGAGAGGCAGTAGATCAGCAGCTAATAGTCGATGAATCTCCGTATACACCCCCAGGCCCAGGCAGGCTGCAGCTGCAGCAGGAGCAGCAGGAGCAGCAGGAGCAGCAGGAGCCTCCTTTCCTTCAACAATCAACACCTCCATCACCATCAGCGGCAGCTGCAGCAGCTGCAGCAGCTGCAGCAGCAACAGCAGCAGCAGCAGCAGCAACACAAAAAATTATGACTGCAGATGTTGGAGTAGCGACAGATATTTTAGCCGAAAGTCCTCTCCAAGATATTTTTGGCTTAGAGGAGGAAGAGGAAGAAAAAGAAGAAGAAGAAGGAGAGGAGGAAGAAGAAGAAGGAGGAGGAGAGGAAGAAGGAGAGGAAGAAGGAGGAGAAGGAGGAGCAGATATAGATAACAATGATATACTACTATACCAAGATGACCCGCATGCACAACACCTGCTGCTGCAACAGCAGCAGCAGCAGCGGAAGAAACGCAAAACAAAACGAGCAGAAGCAGCAGCAGCAGCAGCAGCAGCAGCTAATGGGCCCTCTGAGGACTCAGTAGTATTTGGGTTACCCCCAGAGGCTCATCATCAGCAGCAGCTATGGGAGAGCGAGGCATTAGCAGCAGCAGAGGGTAGGCAGCAGATTGCTGCTGCTGCTGCTGCTGTATCGGTTGCTGCTGCTGCAGCACGAGCTGCAGCAGAAGCAGCAAATCCAAGACCCCAAGAAGAAGACACATCTAGTCAAGAAATACCTCAGGGTCTTGATGAGCAGCAGGAGCAGCTACAGCAGCAGCTACTGCTGCAGCTGATGACCCCAAAGAAGGGTGGCGGCAGCAGCAGAGCTGCCAGCTGCAGCAGCGGCAGCTGCAGCAGAGCTCGCAGCGGCAGCACCGGCGCCAGAGCGAGGCAGCAGCAGCACTTGCTGCAGCAGCAGTTGCAGCAGCAGCAGTTGCTGCAGCAGCAGCAGCAGACTCCATCTGTCTATGAACAAAGACAAAGACACAGCAGACAAAGGGAAGAACATAAAAGAAATAAAAGTAGAGGGGGGGCCTCCAATAGGGCCCCCTCCTGTCCTGCAGCAAACATTGATTACTACCGCCTGCAGCAGCAGCAGCAGCGGCAGCAACTGCGGCCTGAGGACGAAGCAGCGGAGGAATGGGCAGCAGCAGCAGCAGCAGCAGGAGCTCCTGAAGGGGACCCAGCATATAGTTATATTGGTGGAGGAAGAGGGGAAAGAAGAAGCAGCAGCCAATTAGCTTCTTCCTTCCTTCATCCTTCTGCAGCAGCAGCAGCAACAGCAGCAGCAGATAGAGACCTGTACTACGGGCCTAATAGGAGGAACCCCTCTGAGTTGTCTTACTCAAAGAGGGAGAGACGAGCAAGCGACACAGGGAGGTTGCTTCCTCCTTATTGTTCTCCTGCTGCTGCTGCTGCAGCAGCAGCAGCAGCAGAAGCTGCAGCAGCAGCAGCTGCACAAAGAGGAGACAGCAGCAGCATAGGAGGAGGAGATGAAGGGACAAGAAGACACCATCGTAGCCCTATAAGAAGAAGAAGAAAAGAAAAGCAGCAACAGCAGCAGCAACAACAACAACAGCAGCAGCAGCAGCAGCAGCAGCAGCCACACCATATAATTAGTTTTACGGGTACACCTGCAGCAGCAAAAGCATTAGCAAAGAAAGTTAAGAAAAAGATGCGCCCCTTATTTATTCATGAGGAAGTGTCTCCTTCTTCCTTAATAAATAATAATAATAATAATAATAATAATAATAATATAAATAATAATATAAATAATAATAATAATAAACAATTATTGTCTCCTTTAGGAGGGAGACACGAACAATATAAGTGCAGCAGCAGCAGCAGGTCTCCTGATGCTGTAGATGCTGCTGCTGCTGCAGCAGCAGCAGCAGCAGATGGCACCATCAGGCAGCTACCAGCACTTCTTAGAGCGCAGCAGCAGCGTAAGGCAAATAGGAGGCTGCTGCAGCAGCAGCAGCAGCAACAATGGGAACTGCAACAGCAGCAACAATGGGAACTGCAACAGCAGCAACAGCTGCAGCAGCAGCAGCAGCAGCAGCAGCAGCACAGGCTGCAGCCGTATATGTAAAGGCTCTATTCTTCTTACAATTTGCATGCAATGACATGCGCAGCTGTTTGCTGCTCCCTCCTGCAGCAGCAGCAGCAGCAACAACAACAACAGCAGCAGCAGCAGCACCTGAGTCTAGGCTGCAGCAATGCTTTATTTTTTATCTTTTTGTTTATTAGTTATAAAGGGCGCCTTTGTTGTTTTTTTTGTTTGTTTGTTTATTTCTTTTCTTTTTTTTTTATTTATATAATATAAATAAATAAATAAATAAATAAATAAAATAAATAAATAAAATAAAATAAATAAATAAAATAAAAGAAATAAACAAATAAAAGCCCTATTATATACAATATAATTGTTGCTGTATATAAATATGCATGCAGCTATAAGCTGCCTATACACCCCAAATACATGCACATATTCTGCATGCAATGGACCTCAATATACACCCCAGACACCTCAGGTGTATAGGCACCTGAGGTGTATAGACAGCCCATTATAAGATGTATATACACCCCAGATACCTTAGGTGTACATTTATACACCTTGGGTATATACAATATATATAGTTGAGGTGTATATACACCTTGTATATATAGTTGAGGTGTATTATACACCTCAGTGTATATACATATTATTAGGGAATATTATACGCAATAGGTGCATATACACCCTATTTAGTTGTATATACACCTAATTAAGGTGTATATATATATATACATTCAGGTGTATATACACCCCCTATTAGTTGAATATATACACCTGAGGTGCCTATACACCTGAGGTGCCTATACACCTGAATTGGTGTTGATTAGAAGAAATAAACTGTTTCTTCTCTAAGTCTTCATTTCTTTCTTTGTCTGCTGCTGCTGCTATTGCTGCTGCTGCTGCTGCTGCTGTCGCTGGTGTTAGTACTACTCCTATTGCTGCTACTACTGCTGCTGCTATTGCTGCTACTACTGCTGCTGCTATTGCTGCTACTGCTGCTGCTGCTGCCAGTACAGCAGCAGGTGCTGCCTTATATATATTTATAAATAAATAATTAAATATATATATAAATAGTTTATTAAGGAAAGAAAATACCCAAAGATAGCAGCAGAAGAGAAGAAATATAAACCCTCTTATCTGCTGCTAGGGTTTAGGGTTTAGGGTTTAGGGTTTAGTGTTTATGTTTATTTTTTTTTCTTTTTTTACGTTGATGCTGCTGCTGCTGCTGATTAGCTGCATGTATTTCTTTATATTTTCTTTTAGACCATTGGTTAACTTCGTTGCTGCTGAGTAGTGCATGCAGCAGCGAGTTGCTGTTGCTGCGCTTCCTGCTGCTGCTGCTGCTGCTCCTATTTGCTGTTCCTGCTGCTTGTGATTCCTTCCCTCCTCCTGCAGCACAGACTTCCCCTCCCCCTACAACACGGCATACCTGCATATAGGCAGCAAGACGTGGTGCCCCCCTTATGCTGCTGCTGCTGCTGCTGCTGCTGCTGCTGCTGCTGTTAGGCTTAAGCTTCTGTATAGGTACTATAGGACCCCTACGCCTGCCTAATATATTCTTTGGGTCTGCATGCGCATGCAGCTGCAGCACCTGCAGCTCCCTCATGAGCTGCGGAGACACCTCAGTTAATGGCATATTATACCATTTATCTAATTGCTGCTGCTGCTGCTGCTGCCTTTTCTCCTTCTCTCCTTTCTGCAGCAATGAGGTGTCTGTACATACAGATGCTGCATGCATGCAGCAGCCACGCTGCAGCAATGCTGCTGTTGCTGCTGGTGGTGTCTTACCCTTGGCTACCATCTCTATTACTTTCTTCTCATCACGTATACCATTCCTGCTGCTGCTGCTGCTGCTGCTGCTGCTGCTTGTTGCTGCTGCTGCAGGCTGCAAAGGGGTTAGTCGGACTACGCCAGGTGCTGTTGCAGTATCCAGGTAGGGGGCACGCTCTGATGAGTCCTCTTTGCTGCTGCTGCTGCTGCTGCTCTTTTTGCTGCTGCTGCTGCTGCTGCTGCTGCTGCTGCTGACGGGCTCCAGCAGCGGCTTGGGCACATGCCGGCCTAAAGAGAGATGACGAAATGCCTCAGGGATATCCCCGGGTGCTGCTGCTGCTGCTCCTGCTGCTGCACCTTTGCTTGCTGTGTCAGCAGCAGCAGCAGCAGCAGCAGCAGCAGGTTGCCGTGAAGCCCTGCCCAAACCTAACAACCCCAATGATATGCGGGGGGCAGAAAGAAGGAACTTGCCAATTCTGCTGCTGGTACTGCTGCTGCTGCTGTTGCTGCTGCTGTTGTTGCTGCTGCTGTTGTTGCTGCTGTTGCTGTTGCTGCTGTTGCTGCTGCTGCTGTTGCTGCTGCTACTATTGCTGCTGTTGTTGCCACTGGATTCCTTGTCCACAGCGACGCCGTTAGTGCCCCCAATGTTGCTGCTGTTATTGCTGCTGTTGCTGTCGATATGTATGCTGCTGCTGCTCTCATTGCTGCTGCTGCCGCTGCTGCTGCTGCCGCTGCTGCTGCTGCCGCTGCTGCTGCTGCCGCTGCTGCTGCTGTTTTCGTTGTTGCTGCTTTCGGCCGTCAGTACCTCATTGCTGCTAGCATTACTGTCTTCGCTGCTGCTGCTGCTGCTGTTGCTGTTGCTGCTGTTGCTGTTGTCGGTGGGACAGTTATCAGCACAGGGGGAGCTGCTTCCTTTAGCATCGTTGTCCACGCTGCTTCTTCTGCTGCTGCTCCTGCTGCTGTTTCTACTGCCGCTGCTGTTGTTGCTGCTGCTATTGCTCGGAGCAACTGCAGCGGTTGCCGTGCTGCTGCTGCTGTCAGCAGCTTGTTGCTGCTGTTCGGCCTCCCGTGCCATAGCACTCCGAGTTCGCACACCATAGCTGCTGCTGCTGCTGCTGCTGTTGCTGCTGGAGCTGTCGTTGCTGCTGGAGCTGTCGTTGCTGCAGGAGCTGTCGTTGCTGCAGGAGCTGTCGTTGCTGCTGCTATTGTTGTTGTCGCTGCCGCTGCTGCTGCTGCTGCTGCTGGCAGCTCCTTCTTCGAGGGGAGCAGTAGCATCCCCAGCGGCATTCGCCGCTGCATCAGTTTCAGAGTCCATCAGCAGCAAACTGCAGGCAGCAGCAGCAGCAACTGCAGCAGCAAGAGCAGCAGGAGCAGGAGTACGGTGTCAGCAAGCTGCCTCTTCTCCCCCTATAAAACTGTTTATAGGTATAAATACATTTTATTAATTAAATAAAATTAATTATTTATTATTAAGGGAACAAATTAAGAAAAAGAAGGAAGAAAGAGCAGCAAGAATGCATGCAGATACAGCTGGGGCCCCACAGGCCCCCCTCTCTATATAAGACGGCAGCGGCTGCATAGGGTATAAGAAAAAAGGAGGAAAAGGGGGATAAATAAACAAATTAATTAATAAATAAATTAATTACATTAAATTAATTTATTATTTTTAATTTATTTTTTATTTAATTAAAAAAAAGAACAAATAAAACTATAAATGACTATAGGCAACATGGCTCACCAAGCCCTTATATAAACCCTAAACCCTAAACCCTAAACCCTAAACCCTAAACCCTAAACACTAAACCGTCGGGGATAAGCTGTAAACCCTAAATCTTAAATTTAAACCCTTATTTCTTTTTTTATGTATATTATAGTGTTTTCCTTTGATTTATTTCTTCTATTTCTTATTTATTAGGGGGTCTGGGGGCCCCCATGAGAAAGGGAGAGGGGGCCCCCGGGGGGCCCCTGGAGGGTATGGGTGAGGGTTTAGGGTATCCTGCTGCTATTTAGCAATGCATTGTTTACTGTGGAGGAAGGAGGGGCCCCTTCTGTTGGGTGTTACCCTTAATAGGGGCCCCATAAGGGATACAAATGTGTCTGTAACCTGCCGCATAATGCATGTGCTGCTGTTGCTGCCGATGCTGCTGCTGCTGCTGCAGCAGGAGCAGCAGCAAGTAGATGCCGCTGGGTGTATGGGGGCCCCCCTGAATTGGCTACAAGAAGACATCTCCCTCTATCCACAGACGAAGCGATGCACTGCAGCATTCCTCCCTACACCCCAACCACCAACAGCAACAGCAGCAGCAGCAGCAACAGCAGCAGCAACAGCAGCAGCAAGAGCAACAAGACAGAGCTTCCTAGTACTAAGACCAAGATCATCAAGATCAGCAGCAACAGCAGCAGCAGCATCATCATCATCATCACCACCACAACCATCATCATCAGCAGCAGAAGCACCACCACCAACAGCAGCAGCAGCAACAGCAGCAGCAGCAACAGCAGCAGCAGCAGCAGCAGCAGCAAAAGAGGAAAGAAGAGGCCCTTACCGTATATGTATAATAGGTCGTCCTAATGTAGGAAAGAGTGCCTTATTTAATCGTCTATGCTACGGTGTATCCTCACCATCTTTTTCTTCTTTTTCTTCTCCTTATTCTTTTTCTCCTTCTTTTTCTTCTTCTTCTTCTTCTTCTTCTTCTTCCTCCTCCTCCTCCTCCTCCTCTCCTTTTTCTTCTTCTTTTTCTTCTTCTTCTTTTTCCTTAGTTAGTCCTATAGAAGGAACAACAAGAGATCGTCTGCATGCAACAACTTATTATAATAAATATTTTATTGAGTTTATAGATACAGGGGGAATAATTAATGATAAAATACAACAAGGTCCTCTTGCTCCTCAGGTAATTACCTCCCTATACACCCCAATTCTTTATCTATATATATATATATATATA